AGTTTTGGCTGCTGACGTCTTAATACTGTACTACTATGATACGTTGGTGGTATTTTTAGTTAACAACATTATCAATTTTGTTACCAAAGTCGACAGGGATCATGTGGGTGTGTTGTGAGGGGGCGCCATCCGTATGATAGTTGCATTGATGCTTACTGCTACTTGCAGTATTGTGTCTTGTGATGGATCTGCGGGTGTGCTGCACCTGATTCGTCACATCTTGTGGTTATGGTCGATGGAGGTATGCGGGTGGTGATGTCTGCTGGGACTGTATGGGGGACCTTGGGATGGTGTAAGCCCGACGATAGTCGTATTGATGCTTGTTGCATTCTGCAGCATTGCGTCTCTACGATGGTTGTTTGGCGGGTCGCTATTCTCAATGGCGCTCCCTGGGTCTTGGTTTGACTCACAACCTAAGTAGCTTTGCCCAAGTCGGGTCCCTTCTTTGCGGGGTTGCAGACTGTCTGTCCTCCATAATGTTTTATATAACAACATAATAATATATCTCTATAAAGTTCCCACCTTTGAAATATTGAAGGCAACTTGTTGGGGGGTGAGACAAACATGATCGAAAAATGCATATACTCAACGTCAGTGACACAAACCCTTTCTGATGGCGAATTATTACTATCTATACTAATATAATATAGCGGAAGAGTTTTTTTGTTTTTTTGTTTGTTTAAACGCGCTAATCTCTGGAACTATCAGTCCGATTTGAAATTTTTTTTTTGTATATTATAGCCAGATTCATGTGGAATAGTATAGGCTATCTAGCATTAAGCTATATTACTCAGCTAGCCTAGCTATATATGGATATTTGTTAAGCAAGTCAGAAGAAAAAGCACTCCCGAAATGATTTATCCGCGTACGCTGGTGCTATCGTTAGGGATACGTAAATACAATGTTCTAGAAAAATATAGATCTTTACTCCATCTAAAAAAAGTCCGCGATACCATACTATTTCTTATACATAAGCCATAATTAGGTATTTTGTGACAAAAAAATATTGAAAATTTAAAAGTGATTTATGAGTGTTATTATTAGGCATGGCCTATTTATACCCTTACGAATGAAAGTTACTTCATCATCAAGACAATTTTATGAAGATAAACTTTGTTCTTTATACCATGTTATTTGGACGCATAGTTTAAGAGATAATGTAAAATTGAAATAATTCAATACATGGCAGGGCGCGCGAACGACACATTAACCCTTGCCGCCCAGTGAGAACTGCGAAAACTACTCAACCGGGAGGGGGAGGGAAAGTGGATAAAACTTAACTTCGATCTACATCATACATAATATGCCTGGTTCGCCAGTTATTTTGCTGTGGACTACGGACCAGTTCCCAACTTAGCGTATCCTTCGGGGGGAGCGCATTAAAATGGTTGGCGCTCACCGTGCGCGGCGTGTGCGGAGCCGCGTACCTCCTCCACATTTTTTTTTAAATGTGGGAGAGCGAAGCCCTTGTAGCTGGTATTTGATATAAATATTGTGAGCCTTTTCCAAGCGGGAAGGGATTAATTAATAAGGAATTGACTGTTGTGAACCAGATACAAGTGGAATAGGGACAATTTTATTGTTCTTAAACTTTTTGAGCTCTGTCTTCGTAAACGGGGTTCTTTAGCTTATAAGACTCTACCAACAGCTTTCGATTGCTCTCGTGAATGTTCATTCTTCCAAGATACACCACCTAAAAGAACTAAGTTACTATACAAACACAACGTAAAAAAAAGGTCCTAACTAAGACGATCACGCCATAAATTTATTAAACGGCCTATATTTAAACCTTTAGAAAGATCAAGATATACTGGTCACATAAATTAGATATATTTATATATCTTACATATATAGATTCTAAAGAAATACAAGTTATAAGTGGATATATAGAAAATAAAAAAGAGGGGGAGGGGGTTCGTTACAATATGTATGAGAAACAGCGTTGATGATAGCACGCCGCCTTTTGGAACACCAGCGTTGATAGGCTTGAAATCAGAGCATGCACCGTCTACTACGACCTTGATGCTCCGATCAGCAAGGAAACTGGTGATCCATTTGCACAATTTCTCGGGAAGCCCATAGGAAGGAAGCTTCGAAAGAAGCGCTTTGTGCCAGGCCTTCGCAATGTCCAAACTAACGGCCAATGCCGTGCCGTAGATAGACTAGAAGATTACCAGCTGATCGACCCCGACGAAAACCGTACTGGCGGTCACTAATCAGCTAGTGATCCTCAAGGTACACCTCATGAGCTGGCAGTTTATAATGGATTCCATTACTTTGGAGAACAAGGAGGTGATGGCGATAGGCTTGTAGTTGGACAGGTCTGAGCGGTCGCCTTTTTTAGGGATCGGGTAGACCAAAGCTGTCTTCCATGAATTCGGGACTACGCCTTGGGAGTAGGAGTACCGGAAAAGACGCGTTAAAACCGGTGCCAACTCCGGAGCACACGTCTTCAGCACAATGGGAGGAACTCCATCGGGCCCACTCGACTTGCTGACGTCCAGGGAGAAGAGTGCTTTGCGAAGCAAGCGCTGTGTAAACCTCACATCCGGCATGGAGCACTCACATCGCGGGATGGTCGACTGTGTATTCCCCCCGTCATCTAGAGTCGAGTTGGACGCAAAAAGAGAGCTCAACAAATCGGCTTTCTCCTTTGCGGCATGGGCCAGTGAGTCGTCCTCTCTGTGCAGAGATGGAAGAGATGGCTGACAGAAGTTCCCTTGGACAGCCTTGGCGAGAGACCAGAATGCACGGGTTCCCGAAGTAAGGCGAACTAGCTTCTAGCCAATTCTGCCGATGTGCTCAGACCTTGCCTTGGCAATGACGCTTTTAAAGGACCTGGAGGCGAAACTATACTTCTTGTTAAGTGCGCTAGTGTTTACATCCCGAGACGTTGATGCGTCAGCCCAGGCCCGGTAGCACTCCTGCTTATAGCGTGATGCTATTTTACAGGAGCGACCAAACCATGGCTGGGATCTGCCTCCGATGGGCACAACAGATGATGGAATAAAAAGTTCCATACCCTGAAGTACCACATCAGCAACAGAATCGGCAACAACGCTGGGATCTTTCGGCGAGAAGCAAACCCGCCCCCAAGGGTAGGATGCAAAAAAAGACCGCATCCCGTCCCAATCAACTGACCTATAGTGACAAACACGGCGGCAAGCTGCAGATCGAAACTGCGATTGGAGCGTGAGTGGCACCGTACTCCGGATCAGACAATGGTCCGAAGAGCCCAGAGGGGCATCGACGGAGACCTGATATCCGTCCGGAAGAGAGGTCAGCAGAAGGTCCAACAGGGAAGGTACATGATCTTCTACATCTGGGATCCGCGTAGGCGAAGTAACCAGTTGTGTTAGACCATATGCCAAAGAAAATTCATAGACAGATCTACCCGCATGATCGGTTCGAGAACCAAGCCATTCAGCGTGGTGGGCGTTAAAATCACCGAATATCACGATCTCTGCGAATGGGACTTGTTGTAGCACGGAGTCTGCAGCCATTTGGACGTGGTCAATGAGTCGGTGTTTGTCGGCTATGGTATACCGCTATGGGACCTATAGAGGCACCCGTAGACGCGGGGATGGTCGTCGCTATCTACGCGCAGCCATAGCAGCGTAATAGAGGAAGGTCGTCATTTGAAGAAAACTCTCTTAATTTATTTCTCGTTTAATAAATATTAATTCTCGTAATTTAGTAACGAGACTAAATATAATAAAATTTTTAGAATTTTAGTTGTATAATTGTTATAAATAACATTATTTAAATCAGAATTGTTCTGAGGGGTCTACAAATGTGGCATGTGCAAATCCGAATGGATTTTCTGCAAGTGATCTCTTCCATACAACCCTTGCGTGGTGGACAATGCAATCAAAGGGTGATGTACGAAAAACCAAGATTTACTTAAATCTTTGACGAAAAATAGATACGGAATATGGTTTATATACGAAATATGTCGGAATATGCAGATATGGCGGAAACGGTTATACCGATTTAAGCGTCTCCTTTGTTAATGATTTCTTATATTTACGCGAACACTACACATTGAATAAAACTACTTTTACGGATTTATCCCGTTTAATTAACTTATTTTTATTAATTCCCGACGTTTCGGGTGCTTGCCAGCACCCATGGTCACGGGGGACAGAGGTGATTGACGTCCCGATGTCAGAGTTAACCCGGAGTACCTTCAGCTTTTTTTAAATTATTAATTTTGGTCCGATCTACGCAGAATGTACTTAATGTGTCTTGAAGTTTTGCAGTGGTATGCTTGGGTTTAGTTTTAATTTTATTAGTTACATGATCCCAAGCAGGTGGTAGTACCCAGCCTCCCTCTCTATTGAAATTAGGATGTTTTTTAATTTCAATAGCCTCACGTATTATCATTGGCAGGAATCGATGTTCTTTCGCGAGAATTTGTGGGTTAACAAATCTAATGTAATGGCGGAGGCCGTCTAGGATATGATCGCAAACTGCAGACATCCCGGAACGTTGGTGCTTCACGTCAGCTATGTGTTCTTTTACGCGGGTTTTTATAGATCGTTTTGTTTGCCTTATTGTACAATATGGTACAAAGAAATGAAACTTCGAAGGAGTCTCAGTAATCTATTTTAATGTACTATTTAACTTGTACACAATTATCTTAAAAAAATTTAATAGGACGTGCTAACAGAATAAGAGGCCAGAAGGTAAAGGTACATTGAATAATTCAATTGAACAGTCGTTGGCTATTGCCAGTATTACGTATGCAAACGTAACGATATGCCATTGGTAGAAATACAAATGGATTTATTAGAAAGAAATATGGACCTTAAACGTAAACAATTACGGTGAAACTTAGTACTATTACTTAGCCTAACAAATCAAACGTACCTACACGTAAGACATAATAATTGCTATACGAGTTACATTACATCTTACTTAAATAATAAATACTTAAAACGCTAAGACGAAAGCAGCGCGAACATCTTCCCGGGCCCTTGAAATCTGAGCTAAAGATTTCAAGCAGTACTTGCGTCGTATATGGGCAGGATACATAGCCGATTTATAGCTCTTCTAATCATTCCATTAGAAGTTTTGACGTCCGCGACGCGGGGAACACCATCCGAGCCAGGAAATATTTTGCTGATTCGCCCTAGACGCCAGCAGAGAGGTGGCGAATTTTCTTCCTTTATCAAAACTAAATCGTTTAATTGCAGGTCCCTGCATTTCGCTCGCCATTTTGTGCGCTGTTGTAGTTCTGCTATATATTCGCGTGTCCATCTTTGCCAGAAGTGCTGCCTCACTTGCTCGAGACGCTGGAATCGATCGAGACGTCCGCTGTTGATGTCCACGAAGCTGGGTGATGCAATAGACGTCAATGGCCTGCCAATTAAAAAGTGAACCGGTGTAAGAGGTTGGAAGTCATTTGGTGAAGGACTGAGAGGACACAGGGGTCTGCTGTTCAGGATGGCCTCGATCTGTGCAAACAAAGACGATAGATCCTCAAACGTCAGATGCGTTTTTCCCATAATTCTATAAATATGGAATTTGGCTAATTTAACGCCAGCCTCAGCAAGACCATTAAAGTGAGGAGCGTATGCAGGGGAGAATCTAAACTCAATGCCCCGAGAAGCAGCAAAATCATAAATAGAGTCATTGTTTGCTTGCAAAAAATTTTTTAGCTCTTTAGCAGTCGCGGCAAAATTTTTGCCATTATCACAAAAATTGTCTTTGGCTGTCCTCTGCGAGCGATGAATCTTTTAAGAGTCAACAAAAAGGCATCTTTGGATAGCTCACTTACAGTTTCTAAATGTATACATCTATAACGAAAACAGATAAATATACACAGATAACATTTTGTTATTTTGCATCCCCTTCCCTTGCGGTCAGTGATAAGAAATGGGCCAGCAAAGTCAATGCCAACCGTGCAAAATGGATAATCAGGCATTAAGCGATCGGAGGGAAGATTACCCATAATATTAGTCATTGGTTGACCCTTAAAGCGACGACATACTAAGCAATCAACGGTCACTTGCCTAGCTAATTTTCTGCCGCCAGTCGGCCAGTAGCGCTCCCTAATAGAGGCAAGAAGCTGCTGAGGTCCCGCATGGAGCAGTTGTTTATGTTCCTTTTGAAAAATTAATTCAGTTAAATAGTGTTTTGCATTTAAAATGATGGGATGCTTCTTGTCATAAGCATAAGTGGAAGCATCGATTCTTCCGCCAACTCTCAGAATGCCACTCTCATCTAGAAATGGAGTTAGAGAAGATAAAGGCGCCTTGGATGACAAGGCCCCTTTAGTACGAAGAAGCTCTATTTCATTCTGACAGGACTCACTTTGAGCTATTTTAATTAAAACTGTTAATGAATTTTGAAGTTCTTCAACTCTAAGAGGACCTAATAATTTGCAGCTAGGATTACGACAGTTATGTATAAATCGAAAAACTCTAGAATATACTCTTTGTAGCACAGTTAAGTCAGAATACCATTTAAAATCAAATGGGGCCTTAGTGCAAGCTTCCGCGACTAAGGTGGAAATGGATTGCATTTCAGGCAGCTCTACGCTACAGGATTCGAATTTTGGCCACTCAGCCTCCGGTTTAAGTAGAAATGGTGGACCATCCCACCATATAGAGGAGGCGCACACGTCTTGAGGATCTACTCCGCGAGAGGCAAGATCGGCTGGATTTAGGGCGGTAGGAACATGCCGCCAATTCGCGGTGCTTGAAAGCTCAGTTATAGCTGCCACCCTATTTGCGACAAAAAGCTTAGCCTTATCACATGAGTTTAGCCAACCTAATACTACACTAGAGTCCGTCCAATAAAGTCGTAGCCTTAAGGGGCGCTACACGAGTAGCGCATAAAAGTTTAATAGTTATGTCACTATTAGCGTTACACGATCTCAAATAAATGCACGCGCCATATGCTATTTGCGAGGAATCGCAAAAACAATGCATTTCCATATAGATTGGTTTATCAATTAAAATCCATCTCGGGATTTTTAGAGAAGACAACGACTCTAAATGGAGAATGAAACGCTGCCAAGTCGATTTTATTCTTTGAGAAACGGGTTCGTCCCAATCTAACCCTTCAGCCCACAATTTTTGTAGCAAAATTTTCGGCTTAATTGTGCACAAAGATAATAGCCCTAAAGGGTCAAAAATTTTAAAAGTCGATGACAATATGGATCTTTTAGTGAAAACTGTCGTAGGGGTATATTCGATTTGAAAATGTATTTGATCTAAGTGTGGAGACCACCCTATACCTAGAGTGTTCGTAGCATTACTGATAACTAGATTGCCTTCTTCCTTGTTTATAGAGCTACTCTCGAAGAGCTCAAACAAGTTAGATCTATATTTTCTTTTTTTCTTTTTTTTTTTATAGAAGAGGGGGCAAACGAGCATGCAGCTCACCTGATGGTAAGTGACTACCGCCACCCATGAACAACCGCAACACCAGAGGAATTGCAGATGCGTTGCCGGCCTTTTAGAAAGGTGTAAGCTCTTTTCTTGAAGGTTCCTAAGTCGTATCGGTCCGGAAAATTCGCTGGTGGTAATTGATTCCACAAGGAAGTTGTGCGAGGGAAAAAACTTCTTTTAAATCGCACAGTAGTGGACCGCCAATCATCCAGATGGTATGGATGGTAACGCGAGTTTTGTCGCGATGTGCGATGGTGAAATTGAGCGGCTGGAATTAGTCCGAACAATTCCTCAGAGCACTCCCCGTGATAGATGCGATAAAATACGCAAAGAGATGCAACATCTCTACGCAGTGCCAGTGCATCGAGCCGATCAGAAAGAACTCGGTCGTCGACGATTCGAACCCCTCTGCGCTGGATGCGGTCAAGTGGAAGGAGCTGGCACTGGGGTGCCCCGGCCCAGAGATGAGAACAGTATTCCATGTGGGGCCGAACTTGCGCTTTATAAAGTTGCAAGCGATGTGCCGGCATGAAATACTGTCTCGCTCTGCTGAGCACGCCAAGCTTTTTAGAGGCCAATTTGGCCTTCCCTTCCAAGTGACCACGAAACTGCACACTATTTGATATGTCGACGCCAAGGATTCCGATACTAGCTGAGGCAGCAAGGGGAGTGCCTTGGAACTGAGGAGATACGACAAAGGGGTTCTTTTTAGCGGTAAACGCGCAAACTTATGTCTTCTGAGGATTAAACTAGACTAGATTTAGTCGCCCCCAATCCGAGACTTTGTCCAGCAAAGACTCGACTTCAGACACAAGTTTGTTCCGGTACTCAGCGACGTTTTCCCGAGAAATATTGGCACGGCCGGTATATAAGGCATCACCAGTGCTGTCGTCTGCATAGCAATGAATGCTACTAGTTAGCAACATATCATTGATATGCAGGAGAAACATCGTTGGTGATAGCACGCAGCCTTGTGGAACACCAGCGTTCATAGGCTTGAAATCAGAGCATGCACCGTCTACTACGACCTTGATGCTCCGATCAGCAAGGAAACTGGTGATCCACTTGCACAATTTCTCTGGAAGCCCATAGGAAGGAAGCTTCGAAAGAAGCGCTTTGTGCCAGACCCGATCGAAAGCCTTTGCTATGTCCAAACTAACGGCCAATGCCTCCCCCTTGGACTCTACTGCCTCCGCCCATCTATGAGTCTCTTCTTAAGTTGAAGCAACCTTTTTTGAGCTCATTGGCAACCGAGCGCTGAATGTGAAGCAGTTCTTGTTTACTATCTGCTCCTGTAAGCAAATTATCATAATAAAAGTCCTTTTGGATGATTGTTTTAATGTTCGAATCTTCACATTCCTCGCCAGGCTGCCACAAACACCTGGTACTCAAAAAACTCGCGCTAGAAAAACCATAAGTAAGAGTATGCAACTGTAAAGTTTGAAGAGGATCGGACTCCTTATCATGCCATAAAATTAACTGAAGGTTTCTATCCGACTCTCTGACATTAACTTGACGATACATTTTTTCAATGTCGCCCGAAATAATGTATTTGTACAATCTAAATCGTAATAGAATATTAATGAATGTCTTGGATAACAGGGCCTTTCATCTGTAAATCATTAACTGACATACCAGAAGTAGTTTGCGCGGAGGCGTCGAATACTACACGAAGCCTTGTAGACTCGCTCTTTTCCTTCATCACCGGGTGATGAGGAAGAAAATATGCATTAATTGGCTTTTTTATAGGAGACGGCGAGAGATGACCAAGCTGGGCGTATTCCTGAATAAATTGAACGTAGAGCTCCTTGAGTTGTGGCTTTAATTTGAAACGCTTCTCTAAATTCATAAACCTTTTTTTGGCCAGTGAATATGAATTGCCAAGACAATTTTTTTTAATTCGGAGAGGCAACCCTACGCAAAACCTTCCATCATGTTCACGAACGGTATTCATTAAAAAATGCTCCTGGCAAAGCCTTTCCTCATTTGTTAGAGCCTTAGTTTGTGGGACACTTTCTAACTCCCAGAATTTAGTTTATTGATCATCTATGTCAGTTAACTCTTGCTCCTTTGTTAAGAAATTGCATTGAATTTGTTTTGTGGATATATTAGATTTAATGGGCATGGGGCCAGCGATAAGCCAACCAAGCTTGGAGCTACGAACGACCGGGTTATTTTTTCCTAAAGAGCGCTGCTGCGACCCAATAAGGTTCCAGAACAAATCAGCCCCTATTAACATGTCGATAGAAGAAGGCTCATAAAAGTAGGGATCTGCTAGTTGGATGCCCGATAAATGAAGATGTTTTGTATCAAGTCGCGCCTTTGGTAGATGTTCTGATATTGTGGGTATAGTAAAACAATACGTAATAACATTGTAGGAATCATCATGAGATTGTAGGCGGATACCGCAACGCTCCGTCTTTATATTAAGCTGCTTGTTGCCAATTCCTATAACATTTATATTTGATGGCTGAGAAGCCAGCTTAAGTCTTTGTTTTACAGTATCAGTAATAAATGAAGACTGGCTCCCACTATCAAGTATTGCTCGCACAGTTATAGTATTTTCGGTTTTCGGATTAGAGATTCGGACCTTGGCGGTGCATAATAAGACTTCAGAAGCGCAAACTGCTGACATTGACAACGTTTCATTTGGAACAGAGTTAGCATTTTCGGTATTAATATCCAAGTGAAGCATTGAATTATGTCTTTTTTTACAAATACGACAAAAGATATGAAGCTTACATTCTCGTGCGTTATGACCCGGTCTTAAACAATTTTTACAAAGATTCAATGACGTAGCCGTAGTAACCCTCTCTTCAGGAGTCTTAGATTTGAAATCTGGACACTCGAAGATACGATAATCACCCTTACATACCATACATTCGAAAGTCCTTTTCGATGGTTTACAGGAAGGAGAATTATTTAGACTAGAGCCTTTAGAAGTAACGATCAGCGATTTCGTTTGCCCTTTACTAGTCGTCACCTGTTTGGTTTTATTACGATGAACGCTCTCAAGAACATCTGCGCGACACTTTAAAAAAATGAATAAATCCTTAAGCGAAGGAATTTCAGGGAGAGTATTTCTATGCTCCTCCCATTTTAAAGAGGTAGTGCTATCTAACCTAGCAGACACAATATGTATAATTAAAACGTCCCATTTTTCGGTAGGCAATCCCAGAGTACTGAGAGCCCGCAAGTTCTTTGTTACGTGATCAATAATAAAGCGTAAGGACTTGTCGCTCTCTCGCTCACAGGTAAAATTAAATAGCGAATTTAAATGATTGCTAATTAATTGCCTTTTGTTGTCAAATCGCTCGCAGAGGAGCTTCCAAGCCTCATTGTAGTTTTGATGTGAAACTTCTAAGTTGCAAATAACGCGAGCCGCTTCCCCTTCCAAATAGGAGATTAAATAATGAAACTTGTGAATGTTTTGAATTTTATCATTGTCATTAATCAATGAACCAAAGGTTTCCTTAAACTCTAACCATTTGTAATATGTGCCGTCAAACTTAGGAATTTGTATTACAGGCAGCTTAAAACTCACGGATTCATTAACTGAAGTAAAATGGCTATCGTTATTTGAACAATGAGGGCTGGGTTGGTTAGGCTGTAAGCCCCTTTGCACTAAACTACGACCAATAGAAATGCAGTTATTAAAATCTTGTTCAATTAGCTCACGCGAAATCAACTCAGTATTTAGATCAGAGGCTGCTATTTTCTCCTCGATCTGGTTTTGCAACTCCTCGAACTCAGAGAATAAAGACTCAATTCTTGATAATTTCATCGCACATTTACTTAACTCTAAGTCTGAGATATCCTTAATTGATGTTAAGTCATCTAAGTAACTTTTAAATTTAGTTACACGACCCTTTATGCTACTACGAGTTTAAATATAATGTCTTAAGATCCGTCTCAAACCTACCAGAATCAACCATTGCAATGAAGTTATCGAAGGCAAGCAAGTAAAAATTATATAATAAAAAATTAATTGCATACGATACGCTCCTCACTTTGCAGCCACTGAGCAGCAACCGCCGAAGATTATTTTCTTAACAGCTGTAGGGCAGTCGCGTTGAAGGTGACCAGCGGACGAAGACAAAGGTTGCAGCTGAGTTTAGAGCTGCGTAGGGTTAACAGGTACAACGCAATTATACGCAACTCCCCCTGGAAATAGAGAGATATAAAAGCGGCTAAAAACTGTTTGTATGCGAATACGAAGGAATGAGGGACCTCTTGGGGGTGAATTTCAATAACTTAAGGACAAATAATTGTATTACGTAAGGTAAAGCCTTAGTACTTAATTATAAAGCAAATAATGAGCCCTTGAAAAATTTAATGGGGAAAGATGACTTGTTTTAAAATTTGAGGGTATGAATTTACGATAGACAAGACTGTGAGTATATTTAGCCCGAAATAGCTTAAAATGCAAATTATCTGGGCTTAAGAGTGCCTTCTGGTTTATTATACAGACTAGAAGCTAATCACTCACGTCAAAAAGGGACTATCGCCTTGTAATGCAACAAATAATTAAATGGAAAAGGGAAATATGAAAAGGAACGAGCTCACTCTTTAAAAAAAAATGTCCAAGCGCAGCGGTTCCGCAAGCAAGCTGTAGATGCCGGTCTGCTGGTGTAGACTGCGAAGACACTGGTGCGAAGCTCCTGTTTATTCCCGAATCCCGAAGCTGGAAGTCGTAGTGGTCTGGCTGCACGGCGCACGAAGTATAAGTTGATCCCGTAGTATTCCGGTAGATCTAGGTACTGAGTTAGCGTGGTGTGGCTATGACCTCTTTGCCCTTCACCTTTGATCAATGTAGGTTAATCTTCAAAATCCGACGAATAATTAGCATGTCCTGTCACGGTTGCCACTTTTGTACAATATGGTACAAAGAAATGAAACTTCGAAGGAGTCTCAGTAATCTATTTTAATGTACTATTTAACTTGTACACAATTATCTTAAAAATATTAAATAGGACGTGCTAACAGAATAAGAGGCCAGTGTGCCTAGTGCGAGTTCCACAAAATAATTCGAATGACTTCACCATCGCGTTAACCGAGTTAACGTCATACCTATCGACAAGTGAAGACAAGCGAGTGTGTGATACAACTTACAATCGAAGCTAACTTTCGATTCGCGTTTACTCACCGTGAATCGCGTTCGTTCCTTCTCTTATGTTGGTAACACGTTAGCGTCGTGAAATAGACTAACCAAGTTTAGGATGACATATTTACTTAGTCGTCTTAATATTAGAAGCTGTCTATCAAAGTTGTGGTTATTATAGCATCTTTCACATATACTTTGACAGTTTGTGTTTGTTGTGAACTTACGATTTATTTATTTTAATTGAAAATATTAAATTATAAATGTTCGCGCAAAACGTTGATGTCGGAGTCGACACCAGATGTCACTCAGCTCGGCGCGATTCCGGTTTGAACTTCGTCTGGGGCGTGGCAGTGGCGCGCGGGTCGCAAGCGAGGCAGTCATCTGCCAGATGTGCTAATGTTTGCACGCTGTTAATTTTGTGCGGGAACCGCGGAATAGTTAGGGCGTCTAGTAAATATCCTGTCTAGGAATTATAACGCGCATTCCCTGTTTGGATAGCCTTTCCCGGGACTTATTGGGTCCGACTCAGAATCTGTATAAGTGCATTCGACAATATAAGCTAGTGCGGCCTCGGTATTTAGAACTGTTGCCACGCGAAACGGTAGTGACCTTTGACCTAGAAACTCCGGGCGTGTTTTGTGCGGTAACCTTATACCCCGCGATAGTTAGTGGCTTCTGTAAGCTAGTTAATCGTACGATAGAGTTAAGTGACTGGCATCGTGGTGAACCAAGAAAGTGACTGTGGATAACCTCGAAAGGCCCCCTCAAGTTGGAGCGGTATCGACGCTCGGGCTGCTGCCGACGGCTAAGGTCTAGGTTCAATCACCATCAGTCACACCCAGATACACACCACATCACCATTCTTTCCCTTGCACTACACAACCACATGCGACCTGACCGACTCCGGAGGAACCAGTCGCCTTGGATAGAGGTAAGTGAACTCCGCCAAATTCCTTCCGGTCGACTGGCCGTAGTATAACGCTCCCCCATATATTTAGTGTAATTAGAGAACTTCCACGTGGCCTTAGGAGGCCCGACCTACGTTTGCTCGGGAAGTCTTCTGCTGATGGGCCCCGGGGGATTGGATCCTTTAAGGGAGCAACCGTAGGCCGTAACATGTTGGTAGCAGAGCGTGGTTCCGGGTTCGATTCCCGGTCGATCCCGACTATAGTGTTTGATAAACATTAAACAATTTTGGTGGCAGGGAGCGTTGGTGTGATTGGTTTAATTTGCATCTACAATCACGCCCGTCCGTAATACGTAAAAATATTTTTTTGTACGTAATAATAGAATTATTTTCCTTTGTTGCTTTGTTGCTTGCCTTTTTTTTGGTTAGAGGGTAATTTGAAAAGCCGCGCCCTAGGTTGTGCAAGCGGGAGTTTTTCTAGAGATATACGTTATGTAGGTAGATGGTTATTTTTACGTAATCGGTTAATTATCGTTGTCGGATAGTTGTAGTGGATTACTTATCGAAGGTTCGATTTCCGAGCTAGGCATTTTAGTTGATCGACCGTGATGTGTATCTTCGTTTGTACTGTAATTTGTATTTGAACTAAGGAGTAGTAATTGTATTTGCGTACTTTGAATTTAACTTGATTTCATCGCACTAGTATTTGTTATTTGTTAATTTGATTGTGTCTTTTCTTTGAGCTAACTTGTATTTGGTTGATACGTAGTAATTCGTATTTGTGTAATTTCTATTCAACGCGATTTGATAGGAACTGCATTTATTAACTGTTAATTTTTGTTGTATTTTTTGTTTGTTATCTTTGTAATCTGTGCTCAAGCCGCGTCGTAATTTGTATTTAATAGTGATGACATCGCCTAAGCTACTGATCCGTTGTCTGCGGACTGAGTTGCGCTGGGCCACAAGCGCCCATGCTTTGATAGGTCGACCGGATAGGGTCCATAACTTGATGAAGCGGTTCGAGCAGGTGGATGCTCGAAGGGCCGCAGTGGAGGAGGCTTACGCTGAGCTCGAGGATTCGGATGTGGAGAAGGGAGTCCTGGACTCTTGCTTTGCGGACTATGAGCAGTTCTTGTGGCTCACGGACGAGTTGATCGAGGCTGAAGGCAGGTATGCCGAGGAGGCGCGTGAAGCTCGGATGAGTAACCTGCCCGAGTCCTCTCTGAAGCAGCTTCAGCCGGAGCTGTTGGGACGACTCCCAACTCTGGACCTGCCAAAGTTCTCCGGGGTCCTTTCCGAATGGCTGACCTTCGTTGGTCTTTTCGACAGCCTAGTGGACGCCCGGAGTGACTTGACCCCGAGACAAAAGATGGCGTACCTCCTGGCCTCACTGGAGGGAGAGGCCCTGGGCGTCGTCGGCCACTTGAAATTGTCGGACGACGCCTACCAGACTGCTCGGGACCTCCTAGCCAGAAGATACGCCAACATCCGGCGAATTGCAGACGAGCATGTTAAGCAGCTTCTAAGCCTCCCGCTGCTTAGTGACCGGGCCCGACTGCGTCCGGACCTGTTGGATCCAGTCTTGGTGGCCTGTAATACATTGAGGCGGCTGGGTTTACCAGTGAGCGAATGGGCTTTTTTGTTGCTCCGCATCGTGCTGTCCCGTCTACCTCTCGACCTGCGAATCCATTTTGAGGAGAGGTACGGCGGGGACGAGGCCTCCTATATTCCGCCCTTCTATGACCTGCTGCGGTTTTTGGAGGAGCAGTGCCGGCAGATAGAGAGCGCGGCGGGCACTGTTGACGACTTACGAGCCGTGCCCAGTGAGAGGCTGAATCCTCCAGGCAAGCCGTCGTCAACCCCCCCCTGCTCCTATTGTCGAGCATCTGATCATCGGGTAACGTCGTGCCCGAAATTATTAGGTAAGCCGGTTCCAGCGAGGCGAACTATCGCCAAGGAGCGCCGCTGGTGCTGGTCATGTCTGGGAGGGCACCTCCAGCGAGACTGTCCGCATCGACGGCCCTGTCTGCATTGCCAGGGCAATCACCATGCCGTTTTGTGCCTGGGTGCGAACGGCGTCTCCTCTCGGGGCTCTGCCAGGCCCTCGACCCCCACGGGCGGGGGCGCTCAGCCACGCCCTCTGCCGGGCGACTCTTGGCGCCCGCCGGCCAGCCATCAGGCCCCTAAGTTTGAAAGGAGCCCCTCCCCCGACCAGTCGGGGGGTAATTCCCCCAGGGGCGGGGGTGTCATCACCCCCCCTCAGCGTGTGGAGAGGAACTTCACGGCCACTCATCGGTCCGCTGGACCCTTCTCACTTCCGTTAGCCGAGTGGCCGCAACTGGTGTACCACTGTTCCCCATTTGATGGAGGCGGCCCTGTCTAGCTGCTGCCTAGTTCCCACCACGGCCGCCTCCACTGAGCCTTAAGCCGTCAACAGTCCACTTGTCAAAATGTTCTGTTGCCGACGGCCTCAGTGAAGGCGTACAACCCGAGTGGCAACTGTTAAAGGTTGTGCTCTATTTATCTCGGGTTCACGCCATGTGGCCTCCCCTTAGTGGTGGGAAGATTAGGGCCCCCCCCTGGAGCGTTGAATCACGTTGTCAAGGGGTATTAGATTTGGTTTGATCGAGCACTTAGTCAAAAAATACTTGAATTAAAATTAAAAATTGCTTTGGGCTTTCCGCGAAATTTTCCTATTTGTAGCAGTTTAAATTAAAAGAATTGAATTTAATCTACTCCTTTAAATGCTACTGCATGTGTTTTGTACATATATTTAATCACTGTATTTGATTGTTGCGTCTGCTTGCTGAAAGGAAAATTTGAATTCATCTGAAATTGAATGGCGCACTATTTGAAAAATTATGTTTATGTTTATGATAGTGTTTAATCATTTTGCTTTGCGAAGAAGTAGGGCTGTCCCTTACGTTATTGTTTTGTTTAATTTGCAAGTTGACCTATGCGCATCGGTGATTAATTTGGTTGAATTAATTCTGTAGTTGAACATTGATGCTTTTGAAAAATTAGTTGAAATATGAGCATAGGACTACTTGCCTAACAGGCTAGCTAGTTTTGGAGATTATCAGATTGAAATCAGCTGCCGCACTATTTTAGTAAATGATAATATGGTGGGTGGCCTGGCTAGGCCTACTTGTTGAAAATTCATACTAGGGACTATCTGTGCGTTTCGTTCGGCTCTCCACAGACGACGTTCATGTGGAATTGGTAGGTGCTCTTTGCACTGAAGCTTAGGAGGCCGCTCGGGGCCGCTTCGTGTCGCGTCGCTGTTTGCAGACCTGATCCGGTCGGATTGCGGAACTAATCATAGGGGCACAGATAGGTGTTTGAAACAGGTCGTCGGACTTCTGTCCAATACAGGACTTGATAAAGTGCTGCGATGCCCAGGAGGGGCATCCAGTGGAGGCTGACCCTCCGGCGCCACGTTAAGGCTATCTTTTGAGGCGCTGGTTAGGGTTGCAAGACCTGATGGGTTGCCTAAGGTGGCCTAGTTTGGTTGTAGATTCGGTCTTGCAACTTGCAGTCTCGACCTTGTCCCGCTGACCGGTTTGCTCGCGGACCTAAATCCTTATGTCCGGGACGGGGGTTTGTTCGCGCAAAACGTTGATGTCGGAGTCGACACCAGATGTCACTCAGCTCGGCGCGATTCCGGTTTGAACTTCGTCTGGGGCGTGGCAGTGGCGCGCGGGTCGCAAGCGAGGCAGTCATCTGCCAGATGTGCTAATGTTTGCACGCTGTTAATTTTGTGCGGGAACCGCGGAATAGTTAGGGCGTCTAGTAAATATCCTGTCTAGGAATTATAACGCGCATTCCCTGTTTGGATAGCCTTTCCCGGGACTTATTGGGTCCGACTCAGAATCTGTATAAGTGCATTCGACAATATAAGCTAGTGCGGCCTCGGTATTTAGAACTGTTGCCACGCGAAACGGTAGTGACCTTTGACCTAGAAACTCCGGGCGTGTTTTGTGCGGTAACCTTATACCCCGCGATAGTTAGTGGCTTCTGTAAGCTAGTTAATCGTACGATAGAGTTAAGTGACTGGCATCGTGGTGAACCAAGAAAGTGACTGTGGATAACCTCGAAAGGCCCCCTCAAGTTGGAGCGGTATCGACGCTCGGGCTGCTGCCGACGGCTAAGGTCTAGGTTCAATCACCATCAGTCACACCCAGATACACACCACATCACCATTCTTTCCCTTGCACTACACAACCACATGCGACCTGACCGACTCCGGAGGAACCAGTCGCCTTGGATAGAGGTAAGTGAACTCCGCCAAATTCCTTCCGGTCGACTGGCCGTAGTATAACGCTCCCCCATATATTTAGTGTAATTAGAGAACTTCCACGTGGCCTTAGGAGGCCCGACCTACGTTTGCTCGGGAAGTCTTCTGCTGATGGGCCCCGGGGGATTGGATCCTTTAAGGGAGCAACCGTAGGCCGTAACAATAAATATAAGTAAAAAAATATGAAGACTAGTTCGTCCCAATTCGATTTGATGGTGACATTTATGGAGCAGTAAGTTGAATTTCATTTATTTAGTGTTTAGGGAACATATTAATATGTTCCCTAAACACTAAATCCACACCTTCTGATCCTATCCTATTTATCGGAAATCCTAAATCGGAGTCATTCTCTACACACTTTCCGATGTGCTTCCTTAAAATCAGATCGGCTTTTAGCGGTTACTCTGTGCAGACGTGATTCACATGGCTCCTACGTTGTCTAAAATACAAAAGATTGTGATAGGAGTAGCAATATCAAGTACCGTCGTGGATACACGAAAAAGGAGGAAAAAGAGAAGCTTATGGGCTGAAGAAATTTACAAACAGAGAAAAAGGTTTACACCTCTAACAATGATTAAGGTTTTAAGGTCTAAACATTTTCGGACGTATTTAAGGATGAACGAAGAGTGTTTTTCTCAATTACTGAGTATGGTACGCCCATTTATCCAAAAGCAAAATACTATTCTGCGAGAAGCAGTAAGTGCTGAAGAAAGATTAATAGCGACTTTTAGATTCCTTTCTTCTGGTTGTAGCTATACTGACTTGATGTTCAATACAGCTATATCTCCTCAGTTACTCTCACAAATAATACCAGAAACCTGTATAGCAATATATAAATGCTTAAAGGACTACATAAAGGTATGAAATGAAATTTCCTTTTACGTAATTATTTGTATTTATTTATTATTGTTACTTTTTTATTAATCATAATTATTACCTACCGATACTCATTGTGCTTAGAATGATTGTAGTACTTATTTTTTAGTAAAAATAATAAAGTCTTTTAAAGCTCCCTGCATGTAATTAGATGTTGAGGAATGGGGCGGTGATGGAATGCTAATTACTGGAGGTTCCAAAGAATATGTACATTCTTCGTTAATAACTGTTTCTGTTGCATTACACAATGGCAATGAATTTGAAGAAATATGGTCTGAATCACTACTAGTAAATGTCGATGTTTGATATGAAGAAGTGTATGATTGCATTGTGGAAGATGGATGGTGCGCCTGTGAAGAATGAGAGGATGATGGAATGATTGTGTACCAATGGGATGATGACTGGTGCGGTTGTGGAGATGGAGAAGGTGATGGAGTGATTGTGTACTGATGGGATGGTGACTTGTGCGGTAAGTGCGGTTGTGGAGATGGAGAGGGTAGATATGTAGGTTCCAAAGTTATTTGAGAATTTATTGTTAGTTTTTTCATTTTGGCATAGAAGAGAGCATCTGATATTATTTTTTGCGCAATGGCTGATTGTTCTTCAGTTAGAACTTTGAGTTGAAGTCCAATTGATTTCCCGATTACTTCCCAGTCATTATCTTCACTACCTGTTAATATTTTTTGAGCCTGATCTAGAATTTGAGACTGCTTCGTATAGAGGTCCTGTTTTTTTTTTTCTTTATTTTAGTGGGTGGAACTGCGAAACCATCGTTTTGTGTTTCATTTCCAGTAATCTGCAAATAAAATAAAATGAAATTAATTTCAGATGCCATCGACGACAGAGGAATGGATAGAAGTGAGCTCGGATTTTGAAAGCAAATGGAATTTCAATCATTGCGTAGGCGCAATCGACGGAAAACATATTGCAATTAAAAAGCCGCCAGACAGTGGATCACTTTTTTATAATTATAAGAAATTTTTTAGTGTTATTCTGTTAGCAGTAGTAAACGCTAATTATGAATTTATATACATTCACGTGGGTACAAACGGATGTGTTTCAGATAGTTCCGTGCTGCAAAAGACTAAATTCTATGAGAAGTTGATGGAAGATGGGTTAAATTTACCAAGTCCGTCAACGTTAACAAATTCAAAAATCACTGCACCTTACGTTTTTGTAGGAGACAGTGCATTCGCGCTTGATAAAAACATTATGAAACCATTTCCTCTAAAGAACATAGCTCACGATAAGCGAATATTTAATTACAGGCTCTCAAGAGCTAGAAGGGTGGTGGAAAATGCATTCGGAATTCTATCCTCTAGATTTAGAATATTTCGTCGTGCTATTTCCATAGATATAGATAACGTGAACACAATTGTCTTAGTTAGTTGTGCATTACATAATTATTTATCAAGAAATAATTAAAAATACATTAATATAACATCTCTCGATATAGAAAATGAATCCGAAGCGTCATTTAAAGTAGCACAATGGCGTAAAAAGACAACCGTAAGAAACGTAGAATGGCGTGAAACACATCCTTTAGTATCTCTTCGTCCACTTAAAAATCAGCGCAATGAGCAAGGAACTGAAGTACGACAATTATTTACAAGTTATTTTAATAATGAAGGCGTAGTTCATTTCAAGAGCAAATGTTGTCGGTTGTACCCCAATAAAAAATAATAATTTTCTAAAAAAAAAACTGTGTGTTATTTTCAAAATGAACTTACACTTCCACTACTGCCAACACCATCATCCAAGCTATCCTGACCAATTCTTTGTGAAAGATCTTTTTCATCAAGAAATGTAAGATATTCGTAGTACCAAAGCTTTGGACAGTAAATATCTTGAATTCCCGAGCCAGATTTCATGGAATCTCTAACCTAAAACAAATAATTTAATGACGTGAGTACCGGACTTTGTATTTTTCATTTTTAGTAGACATTACGCATGAAGAGTACCTGAACATTAGCCTCGCCAGTTTGAAAAAAATACTCACCTTTTTTGATTCACGTTTGTACGTTGTTCTTAAATTATCAATTTTTTTTTTCATATCAGCTAATGTTGCATTTTTACAAACTTGTTTGAAAACTTTTAAAAGTCTTTCATAGGACTTAGTTCTCAAGTCTCTATTTGAGTAATCTGCTGCCGAAGTGTCCCATAAGCATCTACATTCTTTGTAACACTCCAAAAATAAAACAAAATATTCGCGGTCTGACACCGAATCGCTTTCCCCGTCCGATGACATATCAATGCGTGCGAGTAGGTACACGTCTGAACTGGGACGCTGGTCGTGTGTGACTGTGACGTTTTATCGGACGAATGGTTCTATACACCGTCCGATTTAGGATCCGATTTTAGAAAAAGGACGGTCGGAACATCCGATTCTCCGATTTTGTAATAATAATAATAAAATTAGGACCTGTTGCACAATACATTATCCGATTTCATCCGATAATTAGGATCGGATTGGATAGGATCAGAAGGTGTGGATCATGCATCACCGTGAATCGCGTTCGTTCCTTCTCTTATGTTGGTAACACGTGAGCATCGTGAAATAAACTAACCAAGTTTAGGATGACATATTTACTTAGTCGTCTTAATATTAGAAGCTGTCTATCAAAGTTGTGGTTATTATAGCATCTTTCATATACTTTAACAGTTTGTGTTTGTTGTGAACTTACGATTTATTTATTTTAATTGAAAATATTAAATTATAATTATAAGTAAAAAAATAAGAAGACTAGTTCGTCCCAATTCGATTTGATGGTGACATTTATGGAGCAGTAAGTTGAATTTAATTTATTTAGTGTTTAGGGAACATATTAATATGTTGTTGTATATTTTGTAACTAAGTTTATTGGTTTTAGGCATGGAGATCTCACCAAACCATCCAATAACAATAATGCAAGAGGTAGGATGGCTTGTATAAAAACTACAGTAAAGTAAATATTTAAAAAAGGCTGCTCGTCTACATAAAGCAGCTAGAGTTACTGGTGGTGGGCCTGCTACACATGTTAAATTGACAGATTTGGAACAAAGAGTCCTAAATCTGATTGGTGTACAAGTAGCTACGGGCTTGGCAGTTGAAGAGGCTGGGTTGTCACAGGTTACAACTTTAACTTAAATTAAACCACCTGCTAGTAGGTTATATTATCTCATAAATTGTATTTTCTTTCAGGGGACTTATGTTCAGGCTAATCCCACAGTGAATCTTGAACAAGGAATACTACCACAACCACATCAATCAGTAGAATGTAAGTAGCATATTATTAACAAATTATTTTATTTTAGGTACTTCACAACCTGCTTAGGAAAATATTGCCCCACAACTGCCAAGGCCTATATCTTCACCATCTCTTGCCTTTGCAGAGGAAGTTCAAAGTAATATATAACTTACTTATTAGACAGTATAAAATCTTCAGGCTAGTAGTACTGAGTTTGTTCCGGGAATCAAACCCAAAAATTCTTGCTTGGCAGCAGCACTTGGAACCACTAAACCAAGTATTGTGTGTATGTAAGTCTTCTTTCTCCGAATAAATTAAAAGTAATATACATGAGCCACTCCATGTACACTCAAGTAGTTAAATATGAATAAATCTTACTTATAGATAAAAATTACATTAATTTTATAAATTTACAAGCCAACTTGTCTGTCTTTTTGGTTCTTGTACATAACTACTAAGTATATTGATTTTGTTGAAAGTTTCATTTATATTTTTCATATTTAAGGTTCTCAATCTTGGAACGACCCAGGGCCATTAACACAACATCATGTTGCCTCAGCAAATACTGTGACATCTCCACTTATTTCATTTGTGGAGGTACTAATGGAAAGTAAGATAGAACTAATTATTCATGAAGGTGATAATTTTAAATAAATTTGAAATTATTACAGATACGGGCATGCTCACTCCAACTATGATCTCATCTCAAGTCCAAGAAAGTCAACCAGGGCCTGCTTTGTCGGGGCAAACTACACCTTGCCGTGCAAGACCAATTCGTACTCGAGGATCACCTCGAAGACGAGTGAGGCCAGCACACACAGAGCAGGCAGCACAACAGTTTCTCCAAGCCAAAGAACACTGGAAACTTTTTTTTTTATAGGACAGGGTGACAAACTAGCACACAGTCCACCTGATGGTAAGTGGTTGCTGTGGCCCATAGACATCTATATCTATCCTCGCTTGCGAATCAAAATGCAGATGCGTTGTCACCCGTGAGCACTAAGATGGAATGCCTCTTTTCCAGTAAAAAGGGACTCCGGTTCTCTACACTCACCATACGAAACACAGCAGTGTTAGGCTGCTATTTTACGCTGGTAGTCTGTGAGAGCGTGGTCCTTCCCCGGTCGAGCCGACCCATTGGTGCTACAACTATACTACTAATATAGCTACAGCATGGTTCTACAAAATAATTTAGATTACTTTTCTGTTCTGTTTCAATGTTCTTGTAATTGTTAAATTGTTGTATTAAGTTGTAATTGTAATTATTTAATTAAATTTGTGATAAAATTTAAGGCTGGTGTTCGCGACGGTTTAAAGACTTTAAGCAAAAGTGATGAAAAAAATATTAAATTGTTTAAAAAGTGAAATTAATAACAAAATCGAGCGAATTGTGTATTAATATAGGTTTACAATGTGTTTACAATTCTTAATATACTTGGATAGCATGTCGTTTTTAATAATAGTTAATATAAACAACTTTAATCACTTAATAAAATTTCGACCAATCACAGCGCAGCATATCGTGGAACTTTCTAGAAGTTAATTAACTGCGCAATAGTTTATATGAAAATAATAAGAATATTTTTGTGTTCTGAAAGAATTGTAAATATGATATTTAGTTAGCATATGGTGTATAGATTGCAATAGTAAAGAGATAATTTATGTAAATAAACACATTTGATAAATATAGTAAAATTAAAGATTTAATGTGCACATTTGTTATGTAAATTTGGTACATTTTGATTAATAACTTTTTTGAATGTAAATATATTAAGTAACCCTTATCACATAATGATAAAGGACCAAAATGCCTATTTTATAGTGTATAGCGTGTTAGTGTAAAAATTAGCATTATATAGAAAAATTGCGATTTGTGCAAATTACATAATGAAAATGTTTGATAATAAAAAGGCAAAACCGGAAATTGGCAAGCGGCTCTCTATAGAGTATAGCCGAAGTCTACCTTATGGGGGCAAATCACAGTAACATGGTAGTAGGAAGAACTACCAGTAACAAGCAGTAGTATCCGGTAGTAGCTGAAGTGACTAGTAGCAGAACACAGTGAAAAGTTATAGTGAAATAGAAAAAGTTTAGCTAGCCGAAAAAGGTCGTAACTGAAAATCGCAGTTACACATAGTCGAAAAAAGTGGCAACTGAAAATTCTCAGTCGCATATAGTAAAATAGTGTTAGCTAGCTGAAAAAAGTGGTAACTGAAAATTCGCAGTTACATATAGTGAAAAAGTGTTAGCTAGCCAGAAAAAGTGGTAACGGAAATTTCGCCGTTACATATAGTGAAAAGTGTTAGCTAGACGGAAAAAGTGGTAACTGATATTCGCAGTTACAAAAGTGTTAAATTCAACTAATTTTAGTTGATTAATAGCTGCTAGTCAGTAGTGTTAAAAAACCAGCTGCTACCAATAGATATTTTTGATACTACCAATAGAAATTTGTTACTTCCAATAGATATTCGAAATTACCAATAGATATATTAGAAAATACCAATAGAAACTTGTTACTGCCAATAGAAATTTGATATTACCAACAGATATTTTGAAAATACGAATAGAAATTTTAAAAACCAATAGAAATTTTAATATTACCGTGTGTTTTAATTAAATCTGTTTTTGAAATATATAGTGAACAACCATAGTTGAACAACAGTGTTAAATAAATAAATAGTTATAATATTTCGCAACTAATTAATCAATCGAACCGCTGGCCACTCCCTTGCTATTTTAATTTATAAATCGTGCATTTTTAATTCTGAACCTCAGTCCACAGTTCTCCAACAGCATACACAAAGGCGGTAGTGAAAGTATCCTCCAGAACCTATAGGTGTAGGACGTGAGCGGCTCGCGGAGTATCTTCGACAACATTTACTCCGGAGAGTTACGCCCGTCCGGCACAGCTGATATAAATAAAAGAAAGATTTAAGCTTATTCAAATTTATTTATTTAATCCCTATAGTAACCTTCTTGCTAATTGATCTCTTATTCTACCTCTAATTAAATCGGAGGTAGCTTCACTTTCTGTGTAACTTATTTGATCAGATTCCACCATTCTCCTTTCAAAATGCAGACCTAAAAATAAATATAATTAATACTAATATTAAGTTTACTAGTTATAAGTTAGCTCAATATAATATAGTAATTCAATTTAAAATTAAGATACCTACCTATATTTTCCTCTGTATCCTC